GGTCATGGTGGCCGTGCCAAAACCCTGGAGCTCGTGTCGCGGAACTACTGGTGGCCTGGGATGTCCAAATTTGTCAATGAGTACGTAAGCACCTGCGACGTGTGCAACCATACCAAGACATTCCCAGCCAAACCCCGGGGTCCGCTGAAGCCGAATGAGATCCCCGAGCACCCGTGGCAGATCATCACGACCGATATGATCATCGGCTTGCCAAAGTCTGATGGATTTGACTCGATCCTGGTCACCGCCGACCGCTTTACCAAGCAGGTCCACTTCTCAGCCTGTTATGAGACCCTGACGGCAGAAGGTGCAGCAGACCTGTACATCCGCGATGTGTTCAAGCATCATGGGGCCCCGGCCAAGGTCATATCAGACCGAGGTCCCCAGTTCGCTTCGAAATATCTCCATGCGGTGTACAAGGGACTGGGAATCGAGCCGGCACTGTCTACAGCATTTCATCCTCAGACAGACGGCCAGACTGAGCGCTGGAATCAGGAGATCGAGCAGTACCTGCGTGCTTTCACAAGCCACAGGCAGGATGATTGGGCGAAGCAGTTGCCGCTCGCGGAATTCGCACTAAATAACCGAGTTCACTCCGCGACCGGGCACTCCCCTTTCTTCCTGCATCAGGGGTACAATCCTGAGATCCAAGTGCGGATCAATCCGATGTCTGCGATGCCTGCAGCCGCTGATCGGCTCAAAATCCTGAAAGAGATTCGCGACGATACGCGCTCTGCGCTTGAGCTGTCAGCCGAGCGCATGAAGGTGTACTACGATAAGCACGTGCAAGAGGCACCGGTTTTCGTGCCAGGGGACAAGGTCTGGCTTGATGCCCGAAACCTTAAGCTGAAACAGCCGAGCAAGAAGCTTAGTCCCAAGCGCCTCGGACCATATGCCGTGCGGCGGAAGCTCGGAGACCTGGATTACGAATTAATCCTGCCGAAGTCGGTGCCGGTACACCCAGTGTTCCATGTCTCCTTGCTTAGCAAGTACACGCGTAGCGATATCCCGGGCCGGGAGCCGGAGGAACCGCCTGCGATCGAGGTTGAGGGCGACGAGGAGTACGAGGTTGAGCGGATCAAAGATTCGCGGATCTTCCGGCGTCAGCTGCAGTACCTCGTCAAGTGGAAGGGTTATGACGATTCACATACGTCATGGGAACCGGCGCGCAACGTTGCGAATGCGCCAGCCCTCATAGCCGACTTCCACCGGAAGAACCCGAACGCCCCTCGCCGCCTCAATGCTGCGGTATTTGGTGGTCTCAACTTTCAGCCAATGCCTTCGCCGCTAACTGAAGCACGCTGCCGCTCTGGATGGGAGATGGGCAAGGGCGCCTCGCATGAGGTCATGCGCCGTTGAGGGGGGGGTAATGTCACGACTTGGTACGGCGCCTAGCCGTTTTTTAATTTTTCCTTTTCGCGGGCTCGAACCCGCGACCTCTGTACTACCTGCCTGATATGGACACGTCGTTATCTACTGTACGATTAGATTAGATAGGACGGCAGTGCACGGCACAGCTCGGGCCCCGCTGACGCAGCCGCTCTGACTCACCGGCCC